ACACTAATGCATGATGTATATTTGGGGGACAAAAAGGAAGCATGATAATAAGAGCTAGAATATGGCCTCATAATACTTCCAGGGAGTGTGAAGCGAGGCTGCTTCCAGCCTACAAAGGAACAAAGGTAAAGGGAAGGTGTCATCTCCCCTGAATAGGGATCCCAACAAAAGGCTTCAAAAGGACTCCGCATCTTTAATAATATAAAAAGGCTAGGGCACAAACAGCATCATCTAAAATGCCATTAGAAATGCTTCACATACAAAAAGGTCTAAGTAAAGCAGGGTTTTATAAAGTGATCAAAAAAGAAACACTAAGGGGGAAAATCTTTTAAGATTAAAGAGGTTTTTCAAAGGACAAGTTGAAGTGGCTGTAAAATTTATGAGGCAGCATTAAACTTCAGTTCTAAGTAACAATAAATTATTCACTATAAAAACATACATGTGTCAAATATTATAAGCCTCTTAAACTTTTTAAAACAATTCTTACAGAAGTTATTAGATGTAGTAGGTCAACATTAACAGATACCAACTTCTCGGTTAGCACAGTGTGACCACTCAGAAGAGTGAAAGCAGGCTTTGGTGGGCCACTCAGGGCCACGGTGAGCTGGCCACATGTGGGGTTGGCCTTCAAATCAATCTTTGTAACTTTCGCTAAAATAAATGTTAGTTTTATCTTTCCCATGTCTCCATGAATGTAAAATGACAAATATCTGTTAAGAAATACACATGTGGATTAAAGCTCGAAAAAAATTTAATTTTTAAAACAAATCAAGCCATAATTATTAAAGGAGTATGAACTACCCTGAGAAGGGCTTTAGGACCCTGACTGACCATCAGCCTCGTGTCACCGACCTGAACAGAGAGACCTATAGGCCTGCCCTTGCTGCCGCTGCCTCCTTCACTGGCATGCCTCAGAGTGTGTACAGGCACTCTATAGTGCATGGCATGTCTCCCCCACCATTTCATAAAATCTACCCTTCCCTCTACAGTCTCTAAAAGTTCAATTTAAAAATTCTTTTCAACTATTGCCTCTGCCACAATACACCTATCTTAGAAGGTCTTTGCATATAGTAAGTTAAATATGCAGCAGTGACTAATAATCTTCATTAAAGCACACATGTAGCTCAACTGAACACATGATTTAATGAAAGTTCTAACATGCTTGCATCTGCTTTGAGGAACTGAAAATAAATTGCCAATATGAAAAGTACCATTCCTACCTCATGAAACTGGGATCTAACAGAAAAGTCAGACATTAAATATTTGCAAATATGATGAGTACAACAGAGAAACATGGAGTCCTATAGGAAGTAACAGGGTCACCTGAACAATCTTGGATGTCAGACTTTTGTGAGGCTGTAAATCTGGAAGATGGATAGGATTGATGAGAGCCATCAGACAGTCAGTTATTCCCATTGCTTATCATTTAGTCAGTAACTAATACCTTGTAATTTAGTAACTGGTTTTCATTAAAATTCATTTGATTATAGATAGCAGTGATGGTTAATTTTCATTGATAGATAGATGAGATCTGAAATCATATAGGAGATACATTTCTGGTCATATCTTTAATAATATTTCCACAAGGCATAGTGGTACACAATTTTAATCCTAGCACTTGGGAGGCAGTGGCAGATGGATCTCTGTGAGTTCAAGGCCAGCCTTGTCTGCAGAGTGAGTTCCATGACAGCAAAGAGAAGATCCATCTGAATATGTGTAGTACATCCCATGGGCGAGGGTGCTGAGTTGAGTAAAAAGGGCAAAGTGGGAAGCCAGCTGGGTGCCAGTATTCATCTCCCTCTGCTTTCTGACTGCAGCCACAACGTGCCTAGATGCCTATGTTCCTGCTACCATGCCTTCCCCCAAATGATGGCCTCTATTCCCCCAAACTATGACCTAAAACAAGCCCTCCATCCTTACCCTGATTTTATGAAATACTTTTGTTCCAGTAATGAAAATAAAAGATAGCTAAAACAATGAACAAAAAGGACAAATTATTTTTAATGTATAGGTTTTAGTATGTTTCCATTTGCTGGTAAAGTGACAGAGGGGACAAAGACAAATTATTTCCACTGGGGCTGGAGAGGTAGTTCGCACTTTAGAATTTTTGCTGCTCTTCCAGGGGACCCTATTTGGATCCTGGCACCCAAGTAGGGTGTTCCTCCAGCTCCAGGGAATCTTTCTCCCTCTTCTGGATGCCATGGGCAACCCTGTACACATCATACTTTCAACACAGACACACATATATAAACATAAACAAAAATAAATCTGTTTTTAAAAATGACATTGCCACTGTATTTTTCTCAAACTTTATCTTGTGGTCCTAAAAAGAAAATGTCCAATCACCTAGAATCCTGCTAATGTCATGTATTTCCTATCCTGAATCCTTTTATGCACAGGTATATGCAAGATCATATATGACTAATGCATCAAAACTATCTGTGCACGTCTCTCACATAAAACAGATTATAAATCACATCCCAGGGACTTAAGCAGGCAACAGATAAATGATCATGCTGCCAAATTCTAAACTTCCCTGTTGCACAATAAATAAAACACCCAGAGCCAAATAGTAGGGTTCAAGGAAGATCAGAAAATCAAGGCAGCTGGTCACTAGCTCTTACTCTACCTCAGAATGAAATGTGATCCTGGCTCTGCCAAATCTGAGACTGTAACCTCAGCATGGCTGGAGAATCCTGAGACTAGTGTCTTCCTAGGCTCAATGTGGCTGGAGAATGAATGCCTTATTCTGACTACTGAAGGCCCTGCTCCTATCTTCTATCCCTTCTAATGCTGGGATTAAAGGCCTGTGATCCCAGGTGCTGAGATCATCTTTGTGTGAGCTGTTTCTCTTTAGGACTGAATCAATCTTGTGTAGATGTGGGAAGCCTTGAACTCACAGAGATCCATCTACCTCTTAATCCTGAATCCTAGGATTAAAGACGTGTACCACCACCTCCTAGCTTCTGGCTGCTTGGATTAGAGGTGTGTATCATCACTGCCTGATCTCTGTAGCTTGAGGCTGGCTTTGCTTTTTGAATCCTCAGGCAAACTTTAAGAAATCATAAATAATATATCACCATACTTTCCTTCTTTAATTATTTGATCCCTCTACATACATCTTTCTTCTCTGCACTTTTGATACAATATGAAAACAGAAAAACACTTGAAGAAATATTTAAAGAAAAAAGGTTCATGCTCACTAATACATACAAATAATGCAAAATTCATTAACAGAAAGAACAACAATAGTAACAAGGTAACCTACTGTAACTATCTCTAACCTCTGACCCCATAGCTAGCTTACAAAAAGATTATCAGGTTTTCAGATATTTAGGAGAAGCTAGAAAACTGACTGCTAATTTTGACACACCCTTCAAAAACACTGTTGAAGACACCACTGTACAAGTAAAGCAAAACAAATCTGCTCATGTCTCCAACTCTGTCTAAAAAAATTTACAGTTTTCAGCCACAGTCAAGGGCCAAGAAAAGACCTGCAACTTTAATTCACCTTCATACCAAACCCCAGGCACATTTCACCATTATACTTAGAAAGGAGCCCAAATTTTAGCTGACTTGTAATTTAAAGAAAGGTCACATATAACCCAGGCTGACCTCAAATGTGCTACACAGCTAAGAATAACCTTGAACTTTCTGATCCTCTTGCCTCCATCTCCCTAGTGTTAGGATTACAAGTATGTACTGCTATGATCAGGTCATGCAGTGCTGGGGATCAAATCCAGAGCTTCATGCTTGCTATGCATGCATTCAACTAAGCAACATCCCTAGCTCCTAGCTCAAGTCTTAATCCAAATTTAACCAAAAAATTACTAGATTTTGCAAAGTAGGCATTATATTTCTTATCATGTACAAAACACAATCTCTCTTCCACAATGCCATATAGCTGCTAAAAAGTTAAAAAATATTCTGTAATTATACCTCTTATTTTTAATTCTCTATGGACATAAAAATAAGCATTAACACCATCTAATACAACTCATCCATTCACTTTTTACTCTTCTAAATATACCCTTAATGCTATCATATCTTCATTTTTCCCTTCGTTCTAATTTGTTTCCCTCTCTAAAAGAATTATTTCATGGACTCTTGGATTTGTGTTCAACTATTCTTTCCCACAATGATATCACAAGTCTGAAAGACATACAACCAGACTACATCTACAAAGGATGCATTTCCAAAACTAATAACATTTACACACTTAATAAGAAATAGACCAAAGAAACTATAGTAGACAAGAAAGACTGCTTTTCTAATAGAAACAATTCATAAAACTAAAATTATCAAGAGAATAGCCAGAAGTGAAGTAAAAAGTATGCTGCTGTATGTCAAATGACATACAGCAATGTCAACAGGAAATATCAAAATTTAATAAAAACCAAAATTTAAATCTCTCCCTCTTGAAGGCCAAAAATTATACTGCAACCACAACGGCCTTTTGATATGTTTTTATAACTTAGTTTATTTTTATTTGTACTAAAAGTCCTATGTAGGCTCAGTCCTCTACTAGAAGGGCAATTGAATGGTCACATTTATATTCTTATTCCACTAAAGAAAATAGTGAGCATCAGTCATTGAGGTGGGGAGGGAGAGATATTCAAGCAGAGGATGAAACACGGATAAGCAGAGTGTTACATTTTATTGAAGTCACTGGCAATGTTCATAACATTGTCACAAAGGAAAACATGAAATTGTGTTACTTATGATTCTCAGGTACGCTTTTCAAAAAATGAAACACACACATAAAGAGTGTGTTAACAGACATTCATAAATGACTTAAAATGTAACATAATCTTACTTAAATAAGTAGTAAATTCTTAAGCCTGTTATTTTTACCCAGCATCTATTCACAGACCTCAATATTAGCAAAAATATAATGTAAACTAAAGCCTTATTAATAAAAAGAAGGGGGTTCACTATATGAACCAGCTGCAAAACCAGAGTAAAGCTTTAAAACTTGACAGTTAAGCTCCACGGCATACCTGTGGGCATCACTTGCTGACAGCACCAGTGTGTTGTCTTCTCCAGAAGAGAACTGCCATGATTCATTTAATTTGTGTTCGCCTGTCTCCAGCTCACCCATTACCCAGTCGGGTAGCTTCTCTGGGCTTGAAGCTTTTGGTTGTGCTGGATTTGGTTCATCAAAATAGATGGACTGTTTTTTAAAAATCAGAGAAATTATTCTTACAAAGTGTACTATAAAGAAAACACTTAAGTTTTCCATCAACTTTTAACTTTAACAAAAGCTTTTCAAGTTTCCATTTCAGTTTAATTACAGACAAATACATGAAATTTATCATTAAATACATAATAAATTATGAAATATTAAAATAATATGATAGCTGAGCAGTTGTGGCACATGCCTTTAATCCCAGCACTCAGAAGCAGAGGCAGGTGAATCTTTGTGAGTTTGAGGTCAGCCTGGTCTATAAGAGCTATACAGAGAAACCCTGTCTAGAAAAATTTAAAAAACAAAACAATAAAATAATAAAATGGCTAATATATCTACATTTCAGCTATGTTCTACTATACAAGAAACCTAATGAACAACAAAATTACAAAGCAGATAAATCTGGAAATAATTATTTATATAAGGAAGTAATATTAGTATTATAATAGTTGTTCTCAACCTTCCTAATGCTGTGACCCTTTAATACAGTTTCTCATGTTGTGGTGATCCCAACCATAAAATTATTTTTGTTGCTACCTCGTAATTAATTTTGCTACTACTTTGAATCCTAATGTATATATATATTTTTTTTTTTGGAGAAAAGACTTTGTCAAAGGAATTGTGACCCACACAGGTTGAGAACATGTCCTTTATAGTTAAATGGAAAACTTTTAAATTATGTTCTCTCTATTTCTTCGTGTAATCATTAATTATCTGTACACATAGGCACATATATACACAAAAATCAGTGTTTGGAGTAACCACAGTTAAAACATGCCAGAAATTAAAGCTAAAATTAAAAATCCCTCAATGAGATGGGAACTACAAACTCAGAGATATGGGACTTGGTTCCAACCATACTCTTCATTCCTGGGGAGGCTGAGACAAGGCACTAGGCCTTCTTAGTATCATTTGTGAAATAAAAGTCCTTCCCTACAACTTTATGAAACTGAATGTGAATGAAAAAAATGTGACACAATATATTCATATCCTGACATCTAATGTTCTTCCATTTTAGAAACTAAGATGACATTAGCCCATTGGTTTCAATGAACCAGGTGCATGAAATGGTTTCTAGAGAAAACTCTACATGTGTAACAACTACCTGAGTCTACACAAAAGTCCTCAAGGGGCTAGACTTCAGGAAATACTCATACATGACACCCTGCCCTAAGTCAGAAATGCAGGATGATTTCTTTTTAAATGAGATAGTTGTCTTGCTTATGCTCTACTTCTCTCCCCGTGGTTTGATTTATCTGCGGTCAACCATGGCCTTATATATAAATGGGAAATTCCACAAAGAAATTTTAAATTAGGTGCTATTGTAAGTTGTAACAAATTCCATTCCACTATCTCCAGTAAGATCTACTTGCACAATATATACTGCTGTGCTGTCTAGTTCTATGTCAACTTGATATAAGCTAGAGTTATCTGGAGAGAATCAATTGAGACTGGACCATGGGCAAACCTCAAGGGCGCTTTCTTGATTAGTGATTGATGGATAAGGTGCCAGCTCACTGTGGACGTACCACCCCTAGGCTAGTGGGCCTGGGTACTATAAAAGAGCAGGCTGAACAGGTCATGAGAAGCAAGCCAGTGAGCAGCACAACCCCATGGCCTCTGCTTCAGTTCTGCTTCCAAGTTCCTGCCTTGAGTTACTGCTCTGATTTCCTTCAATGATGGACTATGATGTGAAAGTGTAAGTAAAATAAACGCTTTCCTTTCCAAGCTACTTATAGTCATGATGTTTTATCACAGCAATAGGAACCCTGATTAAGGCAACTACCTACTCATAGTCAATTAGCAGCTGTCCTAGTTGTCTCAGTATAGTACAAACAACTCCGTGCTGTCTGCTATTTTGGGAATCTCGTGGAAATGGGGAACAAAAACTTCATAGATAATAGAGAGAATGATGTAGTCATTCTAATGTCTAATCAAATATACAGAGTCACCTATTTCCCGACATAAGCAAAAGGTATGGTACTCCTTCTACAATGGATAATACCATTAAAAGTTTTTGTGTTCTGTCACCAGCAAAGGGAATTATCCTCTGGTGTGCAATATGCCATGTCACTAAATTTTTATTAGTAAATTGCTAAAATGTAGAGAAATCCTGTGTTTTGTAATAATTCTGACATATATACATATATATATATATATATATATATATATGCAACTACAGTTAGTTGTCCAGTTAGATACCATATTCATAACCCATATAAACCAAGGGCCAAGTTTATGTCTACAAGGAGCAAGACAAGGACAACTCATCAACTAGCCATAAAATAACTGCCTTGTATCAAAGCTGATAATAATTAAATCAACTATAGGAAACTACTTTTAAATTCTAACTTACTATTATTAACAGACTAGAAATGAACCTCTAGAAACCATTACACTGATCATGTTAAATAACATATATGAAATCATAAACTAGAATTTACTGAAATACTTAAAATATTGAGTCAAAATTGAAAATTAGTATGTAATTCAGGGAGATGTCATTCTGTAAATATGTTTCTCTTATTGGTTAATGAATAGAATGAATAGAATATTAGAAAATAGGAAAACAAGTTAAGCCAGACTAGGAGACAAGGAGAATTTGGAGAGAGGTAGGAGGAGATTCAAAATATAGGACCAAGAGAGCAGAGGTTTGAACCCTTTCTCCGGTAAGCCAAGACCATGTGGAAATACTTAGATTAATACAAATGAGTTAACATTTAGACAGAGCTAGCCAATAACAAATGCTAGTAACAGGCCAACAGCTTTATATCTAATATAGTGTCTGTGTGTTATTTGGGGCTGATGTGGCTTTGGGACCAGGCTGGTAGGAAAAGTGCTCATAACAAAATGGCACCTGCAACATAGCTACTAAGAAATTCCACTTAAAACTTAACAAAAGCTGAAAAGGAGGATTTTAGAAACAAAATAACAAACACAAGCAAGTCTTCTTGGTAGCAGCATTTTTCTCAGGTGGACTCTGTTTTGCTAAAGACAAGCAGAGATTTGTGCAGCTCCTTTAGAGAGGTTTCCTGACTCAGCATTAAGTGGCAAACCCTGCTAACAACTTAATGGTGTGTGCGAGAGCTGACCGTGGCAGTGACCACATCTCCAAGCCAGCAGCATGCTACTAAATATGCTATTGTTTTGTCTTTGTATTGTTTAACTGATGAAGAAAATAGCAACAACTGTTAAAATAAATGCTGCTGAATTAATCCAATTTATATATTTTAAAAATACTTTGACTTCAAAATTTAAGTCTAAGGACAGGTTTCTGGGTAAAAGATTTTCTATTTTTGTTTCCACAGAAAATAAAAAGTTATGGATTCCTTGCAGACTAACATGGTTTGATCAAGCAAGACCCTCTAAAACAGTGTCCCAGATGATCCAACATTCAAAACTGCTGGAACAAGGCATCCTTGCAGACCACTACAGCCAGAATTTCTACATCTTAGGATCCCCTACCAGCAGGAAGCAGTTTGGAAAGAATGATGCCCAAATTCCCAAATATTGTCTATAAATGTTTGTTTTCATTTATATGGAGTTAGGTATAAATGATTAATGACCACAACCAATCTCTTTTTAAGGCAAAGAGGGGATTATGGTGTAGATATTAATACTTTATTTTGGAATAGATTTTCATTTATTGATACATATTTAAGGTCAATTTTATGATATGTATATTTCTCCTCTTGTTTAGGTATTGTGTTTATGTAGCTCATTTTAAAATGTAATATATGACACTAGACCCGCCTATCCACGTGGGACCACCCCGAGTCCCCGCCTGCCTCATCTTTGACCCCATCGCCAGGCCCCTGCCTGAGGAGAGACCTCCTAGAGAGCTTGGACCACCCAGAGCTACAGACATGGAACTTGTGACCCACCTAAGCCCACTGGGGGAGTAGCAGAGAGAGAGAGAGAGAGAGAGAGAGAGAGAGAGAGAGAGAAGGAGGGAGAGGGAGAGAGAGACCCCACCTGCACCCACTGGAAGAAGCGATAGGAAGATGGCAATACAAGAAAACACCTAACAACAGAAAGAAAAGCATGACACCACCAGAATCTAGGGACTCTACACCAACTAGAACTGAACACCCAAAAGCAGATGAAGCAGAAGAGAATGACTTAAAAATATCTTCATAAAAATGATAGAGACCTTCAAAGACAATGTGAGAAAATCCCTTAAAGAAATGGAAGAAAAAACAAAAAAAAAAAAAAAAAATGGAAGAAATAGAGGAAAAGACCACAAAAAAAAGGCAAGAAATGAACAAAACTCTTAAAGAAAGTAAGTAAAGCCAAGAAAAAAACAAACAAGTGAAGAAAACAGTTCAAGACTTGAAAACTGAAATAGAGACAATAAAGAAAACACAATCTGAGGGGACTCTGAAAAGAGAAAAACTGGGCAAACAATAGGGAACTACAGACGCAAGCATAACCAACAGAATACAAGAGATGGGAGAGAGAATCTCAGGCGCTGAAGATAAACTAGAGAAAACAGATTCACTGACCAAAGAAAATCTTAAGTCCAACAAATCCTTAACACAAAACATCCAGGAAATGTGGGACACCGTGAAAAGGCCAAACCTAAGAATAATAGGCATAGAGGAAGGTGAGGAAGCCCAGCTCATAGGTGCAGAAAACATATTCAACAAAAAACATTGAAGAAAACTATTATATTACACATTTTAATGAGCTATATAAAAACAATACCTAAACAAGAGGAGGTATACATATCACAAAATGACCTTAAATCAAAAAAATGAAAATCCATTCCAAAGCAAAGTATTAGTATCTAGACCATAATTCCCTTTTTACCCTTAAAAAGAGATTGGTTGTGATTATTAACCATTTATAACCAAGCCCATTTAAATGAAAACAAACATTTATAGACAACATTTGGGAATTTGGGTGTCATTCTTTCCTAACTGCTTCCTGCTGGTAGGGGGCGCTGTCTTGGGGAATCCTAAGAAGATGCAGAAATCCTGGCT